TCACTAAACTCACTTTACCAGCCGGCAGTAGTCAGTAGTCTCAGTAATGTAGTAGTACTAACTAGTAGATGACCCGCCAAGACACAGGTGCACTGTTGTCTTAAGTTCTTTTAAAATATTGATACAGTCGTGTAAGTTTTAATTCTTCTCTTCGCGTTCACCAGCTGTACACTCTGGCGAAGAAGAGAAGAAGAAGAATCGCAAAACTGTTCCTCCCCATAATGTCGAAGGAACAGGGGGAAAGTAGTGATGATAATAAAGGAATTCAATTCTTCATGGTTGTTGTTGTGTATTGTAACGATAATTTATTTAAATACAAGAAAGCTGCAGTCCACTCGTATCTATCTTGTATCTCATTCAAGGCTCCACTGTGACTCAAACAGTAACAATGTGTTGGGAAATAAACAGGAAGACACATTGGCTGGTTCGGCACCAGGGGCCAAAATGTGGATCGTCACCAGGCACAGAGCTGAACCTCAGCAAAGATATATCATTGATACAGTACACTTGACAGTGATCTGTGAGCCACTCTGCTAGGCTTCCACGGGCTGGATTAGGCCCACAAGCTGCCAGTTGAACAGCTGTACACTCAAAGGAAAGGCAAGACGACATAGAAATCAAACTGCTACTCTACTGACTGGCAGCATCGGAATTTGAACACTTCTCTGGCTGTTAAAGATGAGGATAGAGCAGTTATGTGAATCGCCTGTATGCTATGATGTCAGCTTAACACTCAGCAATGAAAGCGGAGATACAAAAAAAAATGTTTATTTATTCTAAATTGAGGAATTATAGAGAAGATTGTTAAATAATAATTTAAATCCCCCGTGTGGGTTCCAGGGTCCCATTGTAGGGGAAAACAAGAATAGACTCACTGCCTCCCCAAAAGCATGTCGTAAGAGTCGACTAATTGGGGAGCTTCCTTTGAAGTCGGAGTGCATCTGCCGGAGAGGCAAGGAACCAACAGTCTGTATTCAGGAGAATGAGATCTGTAATAAAACTGATGCACACGCAACACTCAGGTTCTGGAGCAGGACTGCAGTTCAGTAGTGGACGAGCAACCAGAACTTTCTGCCAGAGTGTACAGCTGGTGAACGCGAAGAAGAAGAAGAAGAATTAAAATGTTAAAAAAATTTTTTTTTTTTTGCATCTATACGGCATGACAGTAGCCGGTGCAGCTCATTGATTAATTTATCTCAGAACTCCCCAAGTAAGTTCTGGGGCCCCATTGTGGGGAAAACAAGAATTGACCCACTGCCTGCCCAAAATCATGTCGACTAGTTGGGAGCATCCTTCGAAGTACATCTGCCTGAGAGGCAAGGAATCAGCAGTCTGCATGCAAACAAGTCAGACCTGTGAAACGGATGTGCACACAACACTCAATTTCTGGAACAGGACTAGAGTCCAAAAATGGACGAACAGCCATAATTTTCCGCCAGAGTTAGAGTCGGTGAACACGAAGAAGAGAAGAAGAAGAATCGCAAAACTGTTCCTTCCCTATAATGTTAAAGGAACAGGGGGAAAGTAGTGATGATAATAAAGGAATTCAATTATGTGACCCATTTACAAGAGGTAACTGAAACGATGACTGAGAATCTCATTGCAGTTAATAGAAAAAAGTGCACAAATACAACAGAACGTTTTATAAGTCTTACTGAAAGGAAAATATTAATACTATATAATTGTAGCCTTTTCAGGGTATACACTGGTATATGCACCTATTTAGAAACTTAGTTTAATTAATATTATCTCCATGGTTAGAAAGCAGTTTTAAAGCACACAACAATATTTAAAAAATAAACACAGTTTGATACCTATTTTTCTAAAAAATAGAATTAGTAATTTTTACAAATTATCCTGTTCAACCCTCCAGGTTGTAGTTGGGATATAAAGTACTTATAGGTTTCTCAGAGTATATATTTGTTATTTTATGTACTGTGTTATTATTTATTTAAAACAGTAATGTAATTTGTACTACTGTTTTGAATATTTCTTTATGTCTTTCTAGGTTGTGATTAAGATTTGAATTGTACTATGAATATTTAGATAATCGAAGTAAAAGTTGTGTCATTATTTTGGTGGATTTATTATTATGCCCTAGAATCATTATTGATTTTCCTCGTCGATTTTATCTATAGGAGTAATTATATTCAAATGTGACTTTGGCATCCCTAAGCCTTCTACTTTATGGATTTTAGTTAAAGTAGCAAATTGCTTGATCTTAATAACATAATTATCTCATTGTAATTAATTTGATGGAAAGAGAGGCATTGGAGAACATCATAATGATTGGAAAGATCAACCATAGAAAAAGCAGAGATAAAGTGAGATGATGCTTGATGACCTGAAGTGATGGCATGGAAGAATATATCATCAGTTTATTTTATTCAAATAAATTAAAATATTGGGGGAGGGGGGCTGCGTGGTCTCAAAGTATAGCTTCCGCCTTGAGTGCTGGAGGTCCCGGATTCAGACCCTGTTGAAAGCTGGGATTTTCCACATGGACTGCTAGTAATTTCCTCCGGTCTCTGGGTTGTAAGATCAGATGCCCGTGTGGCTTATTGCGCACGTAAAAAATCTCTTGGCAGTTGGAAATCGAAGATAGTAGCCCAACGGTGCTGCCCGGGCAACAACAACAAAAAAATTTAGGCGTTTAAAATTTACCTAAAGTATTTCAGGATCTTGCTGGTGCAAGGGAATTCATGCACTGCACTGAGATACTTCTAACTCTTACTTGAGTTAGAAGTATAGCGGAGCACTTATGGGTTACACCAGTGTGCCATGATGTTGATCCGTTGACTAAACTAAACTTTATTTGATTCAAAATGTCACAGACTGAGATCTGTGGAGAGACATGAGGGCACATGATGATGATGATGAGTTAATTTGACAGTTTTGCATAATTTGTTTTCCTTAAAATAAATCAGTGAATAATTTTAAGCAACAGAAATAACTGGTAGTGTGTGAAGACATGATCATTGTTTTAAAATATTAGGCTAATGAAAATAAATAAAATATGTTGATGGCAAAACAAAAATGCTAATGGGCAAACGTGTAATTTTATAAGTAGGCAATAACTGTGAAACTCTTTCTGTCCTCAACTGTGAATTATGTGTTTTGGTCATTTTTCATTAGGCCGAATAAACATATCTGTGACTGTACTTCTGACATTTAGCCGGAGCATGCAGAATAAATCTGACAATGTATATTTTCTACAGAATGGGTTTATTTGATCCCAGTATAAGTAATTCAGCTGTTATCTGTTTGTTCTCATAAATGACACAGCATGCAGAATAAATCTGACAATGTATATTTTCTACAGAATGGGTTTATTTGATCCCAGTATAAGTAATTCATTTGTTATCTGTTTGTTCTCATAAATGACACAGCAATCAGAATAAATCTGACAATGAATATTTTCTACAGAATGGTTTTTTTTGATCCCAGTATAAGTAATTCATTTGTTATCTGTTTGTTCTCATAAATGGTTCATGTTTATCAAGACTATCACAAGAAAGTGTACTACAGAGAGCCCTGTCACTTAGATAGGTCATCCATGCTAGCGATAGATAGATGGAATATCTGATGTAGCACACACCATGGCTCCCACCAGATGCCTTTTCAAAACCTAAAACTGAAAGGCATAACAGGGTCTAGAGACAAGAAGAAGAAGAAGAAGAAGATTGTTCTTATGTCTCCCAGTGGGTAGCTGGTTTGTCTCTCTGGTGCTTGAACAAACAAACCAACTTTATTTTCAAAGGGTCACAAATTGGGCAACGCAGGTCCATCTTACATTTAGCCCTTCCAAACACCCATCTTTAACACAATTGTATTTTATCAGTAAAGCAGGTTATGTTAATACAATAATATTCATATTATGAATATGAAGCAAAAATACAAAAGCAGGGGTGGTAAAATTCATGCGCACGCTACGAAACCCACTCACTCACTTACACACACATATGCACCCACTTACATACATACATACATACATACATACATACAAACAAACAAACAAACAAACATACATGCATACATACATACATACATACATACATACATACATACATACATACATACATACATACATACATACATACATACATACATACATACATACATACATACATACATACATACATACATACATACATACATACATACATACAAACAAACATACATGCATGCATACATACATACATACATTTACACACACACAGATGCAGCTACCCAGACACCTACAAAAACATACACACAGGCATACACACACAGATACACATGAAACCACACACAGGCATACACACACAGACACACATGCAGCCACACACACAAACACATACATGGACACAGACACACACACACAGAGGCATAGACACACAGACACACAAGCAGCCACAGACACACCTATGGACACAGATACACAGATGCACAAAAATGTAACTTCTTCTTTAATCTGAATTGGTAATGAAGGTATGAACCTACATCAGAGTCCTTGAGACATTCTCATAAGAACTCCAACTCTATCTTCAGCAGCCAAAGCAGTTACTTGCTTGCTGTACCCCACTAGGACATCACACAAGCGAGAAACACCCAGTGACACAGTGCCACCATGCAGATAAGGATCACCCATGGAGAGGTCCCAAAAACCTCTTTCAGCCGTTATGGCCACAAATGTGGCCCAGCTATATTAAGGGCCCCTGGCAAAAGCTAGGGTGGGTCTTCAAATAAAGAAAAATTGCATCCCACATGAGGATGGCTTAGTTTCTAAAAGCAGCTACCAATTCCAGTAGTAACGGTAGCAGGCTGACTGTAACCATTTTGCTTTTTCTTGTGAGTGTTTTGTGTTGTCACATCCTGGTCACTCCTAGCTGCACCGGTCTTTCCAGACCATGATGATCTGATTGTGTTTCTGTATTGCTGTGTTAGTTGACACATGACTGTGTCACAATATTTATATTTAAAATCTTACTCATCAGTTGTTATTTTTTTTTATCAACCAGATGGATGATGGCTACGGTGCCCTTGTCCAGGCAAGGCCTCTTTCTCCAGGTCATGACATTGGTCCAGATGAGGACAGGAATGGTGTTCCTGCACAGGGGTTCATGTGCAGTGGTCGTGAAGGAGAAGACATTACAGGAATGGTTATGCAGAATGGGATGTTCATTGAATATTTAGATGAGACCTCGAGCACTTTAACCGATATTACAGATATGCCAAATGAGAGCCTGCATTCGGTAGACAAAGCTTTGTATCACGAAGTTAACAGACTGAAGACTTTTGAGGGAAACTGGAGTGACAGTTATTTTGTGCAGCCAACTGAATTGGCCCGAAATGGGTTTTTCTGTGTTGGGTTAGGTGATAAAGTCAAGTGTGTGTTTTGTTTGAAGACATTGTGGAATTGGGAGCCAGGTGATTCAGTAGAGTTGGAGCATCAGAAGCATTATCCTAACTGCCCATTTGTTCAAGGAAACTGTAATCACTTGAATGTGCCAATCAACACTTTTGAGACATCATTGGGGTAGGTGATGATAGTGTTTTTTAGCCTAGTTTTTTTTTTTTAAAACTAGTTACTGTTTTACACCCCTTTTGACAGAAAGATCAAAGCAATGTTTCCTCGTTGTGAATGTGAACAAAGAAGAAAATAACAATAGACCACACAATTTATTGCCTGGCATATTTCATTTTATCTCATCAGGTGCATACTACAATAACACTTGATTAAAAAGAAGCACAAAAAATTAATCCTTCAAAATGAAACACAGAATCACACATTTAAAAACTGTTCGTTTCACGAGGGTAGACACAAGGTAGGACCATGTCTTTTGTCTGCATAACTCTGGACTAAACCAGTTAATAGCAGTTACCTCCACAAATCTCAGTAATCTGCTATTGGTCGAGGTGTAAATAATTTGAAATGCATCGTGCATGTTAACAGCTTGTCCAGAATTCGAAATTTAGCCAGTTTACAACTGGTGAATGCGAAGAAGAAGAAGAAGAAGAAGAAGGGAAAATTAGGCTGCTGACACTTGTAGGACACATATTGACAAAACCTGATAATAACATACCTAGAATGTCTTTGCATTGGAACCCACAGGGCCATATAATAAAGGGAGACAAAAAGTATGCAGTAAGGAGAGTTAAGAGTGAGATGAATAAGATGGAGAGACACTGCCTTCTCACTAAGCATGTCGTAAGAGTAAACTAATTGGGTGCTTCCTTCGAAGTTGGAGTAAATCTGCCTGAGAAGCAAGGAACCAACAGTCTGCATACATATACATCAGATCTGTAAAATGATTCTAGACCAGGTCTGTTCAACTGGGAGCCCATGGATCAAATCTAGCCTGCGAAGATCTAACAAGTGGATCACTGATCACCTGCCAGTTGTGTTGTATTAACGCTCTTTCTGTGTTGGCTGGCCTGTGACGATCTCCTCCATTTTCTAAATTTTGGCCCCTTAGTAAACTTAGTTGAATAGCCCTGTTATAGTCCAAGACTTAAGTCCAGAGGTCAGTGAACAGCCAGAATTTTCCCCTGGAGCTTACAGCCTGAGGACATGAAGAAGAAGAAGAAGATTTCCAGGTACCAGTTTGAGAATGGATCGACCAGAGAGCTCTAGGTGAATTATAAAATCCATTCAGATGTGAATTGGAACCTAAGACCATCGGGCTGGCAGTAATTCATCTAGCCAGTATTGTGGTTGGGACCATCTATATCTGTGACTGAAATATATGCTGTGTTTGGTCCCATCAGGTTGCACATGAAGACACAGACGCAGGAATTATCACCACCTGTGAACTACTCTGAACGTCTGAAGTCGTATCAGAACTGGCCAAAATTTGATGTACTGAGACCGGAAGCTCTTGCCGAAGCTGGTTTCTCTTACTTAGGTAAATCTTGAGACGATATGTCTCAGGTTTATAGCTTTAATTTAAGTAAGATTATGATGCTTCTTCTTCTGCCTTCTCTACTCCAATAGAGCATAGACCCTCAACCAACTAATGCCAAGTCATTCTATCCTTCCCTACTGCATGCAGCTCACCCTGTCCTCCCCATCTTTTTACCCTCACTCTCGAGCTCCCTTCTTCATGTGTTTTTTAGTCTGCCATTATTTTTGTTCCCCAGGGGGTTCCAGTGCAAAGTAATTCTAATGTGGCAGTACCTTGCCTGTATAGCCGCCAGTTTGTCTATGGCTAGGTCTAATGACCATAGACACTATCCGCATACCTGTTTGACTCTCCATTACTGTCTCACTCACTCAAGGCTGTACGATCACACTTTTGACGATTGAACAGGCACTCTCTTATTAAACTGTGACTATAGGATGGGACAATCTGTTTAATTGTAAAGCCTCAGGCAATGACACATTCAGCAAGGTGACAACATAGAATACATACAGTTTGTTGGTTCCTTTCTCATGATGGTAATGTTAATCCAGTTATGAGTTAAGATCCACTTCAATCCAAATGAATGAATAGTCCACGAAATAAACAACCTAACACTCTTTTCATCCAGTGCTAAACTTAAGTGCAAAATACCCCTTCACCACGAGGCAGAATTGATGATAAAAATGTCTGTCCATCTGATAAAATCTTGCTTCAAGCATGTTGTAGCACATCCCAGTGGAGGCTGGTCATCTTCCTTCCAGCTCTTACAATTCAGTAGGCGTCCTTGGTTAGAAACCCATCATGGACTTCTGCCCTGCAGTCTGTCCTTTTCAGGTCAAATCTAGCTGACCTGGCTTCAGCCTCAGAGTGATTTCTGATCACGGGTGTCCAGCTGTTAAATAGTATCTTTTCATCATGTAGCAGGTCCTTTGCAGAACGTCGCTCTCATCACAGTCTGCCTGAAAGAAACTCGGTCTCTCGCCAGTTCTCCCGCCTCATGCACTTTCACACTCAAGGAGTCACTTATTTCCTGTGCCCATCTTCGTGTCGATCGGCCCCTGCCCCTCCTTCCTGGGACCATGCCTTCTGCTATAATTTTTTCCAATCCATCGTGGCGCTTGATATGACCAAAATATTTCAACTTTCGAGAAAGGATGCGTTTATTAGCCAATCTTCTTTGATGTTCAGATCTTTTAAGATGTCAATATTTCTCATCTTCTTTGTCCAAGATATTCTGAGAATCTTTCTATAGCATTTCAGCTCAAAAGCCCATATTCTCTTTCTTAAGGACTGAGAGATAGTCCCTGACTCACATCCGTATGTAGCCACAGGGAAGATGCATGCTCTCAAAATTCTAATTTTTATCTCCTTGCTGATGCTTAACCATAGGCTTTTATCCAATAATGACTGCAGAAGTCAAGGATGCATTGCATCAAATGAAAAAAGGAAAAGCACCCAGGCCAGACAACATCTCACTGGAAGAAATCGAAGCGCTCAAAGATTTTGGAATTGAAATAATAACTAAACTTTTGAATGATATTTACAATAGTGGAGATATTTCAAATGACCTTTTTAAATCCATATTTATAGCTCTGCCAGGCACTTTAAAATGTGAAGACCATCGCACAGTAAGTCTTATGAGTCACATGACTAAGAGTATACTGAGAATAATTATGAGAAGAATAAGAAACAAAATTAAACCAGAAATCAGCGAGGAACACTGGATTTGTAGAAGGAAAAGGTACAAACAATGCCATATACATCCTAAGGACAACTGATTTGTACTTATGCTTCATAGACTATAAAAAAGCATTTGACTGTCTGAAACATGAAGAAGTAATCAAATTGTTAAAAAAAATTAAACATTGATGGGAAAGATCTACGAATAATAAAGAATATGTATTATCAGCAAACATCAGCCAAAAGAATTAACAACTTTTTAGGTACATTTCAGAGCATAAAGTGGGGTGTATGACGAGGATGTGTAATGTCACCTGATTTGTTTTTAATATACAGTGAATATATTATGAGATCTTTAATTGATATGTCCCGAATTGTGGTTGGTAGGCACAATATAAACAATTTACGTTATGCTGATGACACAGTCTTGATAGCAACAATCAGAAAGAATTACAGGAAACGATAGACATTGTGGTGTTAGAAAGTGGAAGAATGGGCCTCAGTTTGAATAATGGGAAGACAGAAGTAATGGTGGTATCAAAGAAACAAATTATTCCTAAATGTGTAATAAAAGTCAATGGTGTTATTTTGGGACAAACACAGAAATTTAAGTATCTGGGCACATGGAAAACATCAGATGGAAGATGCATAACTAAGATAAGAAACAGAAATAGGACAGAACTGCATTTTATAAAATGAAGAATATCTTATGCAATATATCTTTCTCATTGAGAGTTAGAAAAAGAATTCTTGCTTGCTACATACATCCAGTTTTAACATATGGCTGTGAATCCTGGACAGTCGGTAGGCAGGCCAAGTTCTTGAGGCCTCAGAGATGTGGTTTTACAGAAGAATGTTTAAAATACCTTTGACAGCCAAAAAGAGCACCCAAGAGGTTTTGAAAGAGGTAGAAGCCCAAAGGCAACTTATCACATACATCAGAAGGAGACAGTCATCATTTTTCTACCATGTTATGAGAAGAGGAAAATGGAAAATGATGTGACCACTGGAAAGATCTGTGGAAGGAAGGATAGAGAAAGACAACAAGAGAAGATTCTTGACAGTCTTGTTGCATGGCATAGAGGTGTGTCAGCACACGAACTGATATATGCTGCAGGAGATCGTAGATTGTGGAGAGGCATGATTGCCCATGCCAGTTGGCAGGGCACCTGATGATGATGTTGCCATAGCATTTAATGTGCTTCTTCTCAGAGACTCAACTCTTGACCTACTTGTAAACCTTTCCATCTTTATCCTTAATACCTCCCTGTTCTTCCCTCTCACATCCCCCCCCCCCTTTTTTTTCTGTTTCTCCATGCAACACAGTCCTTGGCATTCTGTTATATTTTGATGTCTTATCCATTTTGCACATTGGAGAACATCGCGACAACTGGAAAGATCAGTGGAAAAAAGGGGTAGAGGCAGACCAAGAGAGATGGTGCTGGATGGGCTGAAACGATGGGGGAGGGAGGGATATCATCAAGAGAGCTGTTCCAGGGATCGTGATCTGTGGAGATGCATGAGCGCCCACACCAGTTGGCAGAGTACATGATGATGATGATGATCCATTTTGCCATGCTAAATAAGTTTATCTAAGACTGCAGTCTTGGCAACTGAAGATGCAGATCATCCACTACATAGTACCGTTATTTTCTCACAGGTGAGGAAGATCAAGTCAGATGTTTCTACTGTAAAAAAGTTCTGTCCAACTGGAAGCTGGGCGATGATCCATGGTGCGAGCACGCAAGGTTTTCACCAGACTGTCTGTATATTCAGTCAGTGAAAGGGACAGAATACATAGATAGAGTCTGTAGAAGTCAGCTGAGCCCTGACAGCAGTAGATTGGTGAATTCTATGGCAGGTGAAATGACAAATGTGACAGAAAATGAGGCACTTATTGTTGTCTCAGAGAGAGAAGATCCATTAGAGCAGAGGTCACAGATGGTGAGTTGTCTCTAGAGTTATAGGAGGTGTGTCTGTAGTGTCACAGGAAGTGTGTAGTTTGTCTGTAGGGTCACGGCAAATGTGGTGTCAGTGAGTTGCAGAAAGGAAAGTAATCAGTTTATAGGGTTGCACAAAATGTGTTGTCTGTTTGTAGCATAGCAAGAGATGTGTAGTCTGTTTAAAAGATCACAGGATGTGTGTAATCTGTTTTTAGGGTCACAGGACATATGTTGTCTCTTTGAAGGATTGTGGAAGTGTGTAGTATTTTTTATAGACTTACTGGAGGTGTGTAGTCTGTAAATTTACAGGAGGTAAAAGTAGCTTGAGGTGTGTGGTCTATTTGTAAGGTCACAGGAGATATTTAGCCTGTTTCTAAGATCACAATGGGTGTATAGTCTGTTCATAAGTAACAGGAGGTGTGTATTCTGTATGTTGGGTCACAGAAAATGTGTAATCTGTTTGTAAGGTCACAGAAACGCAGAAGGTGTTTAGTCTGTAAGGTCACAGGAGGTGTGTAGTCTGTAAGGTCACAGGAGGTGTGTAGTCTGAAAGGTCATAGGAGGTGTATAGTCTGTAAGGTAACAGAAGATGTGTAGTCTGTAAGGTCACAGGCGGTGTGTAGTCTGTAAGGTCACAGGAGGTGTGTAGTCTGTTTGCAAAGTCAGAGGAGGTGTATATTCTCCTTTCGTCGTTGCAGGATGTGTGCAGTTTATTTATCCATGAGAGGAATTAGCAGTCTTTTTATAGGTTGCATTTCACATGCATGCACATGCGCACGCTCAATCTTGAGCATATAAAAAAACAAGCACACAGACAAAGAGAAAGAGTTAATTTATTGATTGGGTTATATATATTTGCAGGCTGAAGCAGTACCTAGTGGATTAGATCTAACAGCTCAAGTTGGTGAGTATAATTTTTATCTCTTACCATAAATGAATAAATTGTCCCAGTTGTCACAGTGTGTTCTAGTTTTGCTTTTCTCCTGTGTGACCAAAATGGTGACGCCTCTTTTTGATATTTGTGATAAATTGTCTTCCTTCGTATTCTTAGTTTCTTTCAGAACATTTGATTACTCATTTTAGTTGTCAACTAAAACACAATACTAAGATGGCAAAGGTTAGGAAGGCTTGACGCAAGGTGCTTAAGGGCCTATGCTTTGGTGGTGGTGGTAGGGTTAAAGAACAGAAAAAGAAGAAGAGTTTAAAACTGACATCACAGTTAAGTTAGCTGTGTATCCTTTACAGGATATTGCAGAACCAACCTCAGCATTTGTTGGCTGTTGTGGTTTTTCCTGGTAAATTAATGTTCAGTAGTTTGCCATTGCTTTCTGACCGATCAGATCTTGATACTGCTGTTGCAAGACAAACAGTCTGCAGCTAGGATCAAAACCCGGCACCCCGGCATTACGAAACACGTTCCCAACTCCTAAGCCACAGACACCGACATCACGGCTCTTGGTGACACTCTCGTAAGTGCTCGTACTTCTGGCAGCCAGCACAGAGTTCCAGTACTAATGGCTCCAGTAACAGTCTGTCCTCAGCTTGCCTTTCCTCTAAGTGTTGAATGAACTGCTGGTCACTGCTCGCTGCATCATTCTCTCTAAACAAGAAAAAGAAGAGGAAGAGAAAAAAAAAATGTTTTATGGCTGTTGAATAATGTCTGTTTGTTTTATTTAGAGTATGACATGAAGAGCCCAGCTGTGGTTGCAATGATGACATTTGATATTTCTATGGAAAAGATCAGAGAGAGGTTAATGCAGATTAGACTGACAAAAGGTATGTTTTATATTCAGTGTTATCATTAAGACCTTTCTATCTTTCCAGATAGTGTTCCATTGTGCTGAAGGGCAGTATGAGAATCACAGCCTATGGTGATGACAATTTAGGCCATAGATGAAGTTCATCTTCCCAAGTGCACAAAGCCTGGCTAGGCAGTATATCATCTTCTTCTTCACATTCACTGGCTGTAAACTCCGGTGGAATGTTCTGGTTATTCATCCATTTCTGTACTTTAGTCTTATTCCAGAAATTGAGTTTTGCATGCACATTCATTTTACAGATCTAGCTTATTTGTATGCAGACTGTTGGTTCCTTGCCTGGGTAGTATATTAGAAATGATGTGTTGCCTTGCAACATGATCCCTCACTCAGCCTAAAAGAAACGGGTAAGTGTCAAGTTTCTGAGATGTTTGTGCATATGGTGTGAGTTCCATATTTTTATAAACCAACAGACACTCAGTGGGTTATGTAGGCTGCCTTTACTTCTCAGAGTATTTCCTTGTACCTATTCTAGATAGCTATTTCTTCATCTTTTTCTCAGCATTCCCTGACTAAACTCCGGTGGAAAGTTTTGATTGTTTATTTCTGGATTTTAGTCCTTCCAGAACTTGAGATTTTCATGCACATCCTTTTACAGATATGGCTTAATTTTATGCAGACCATTGGTTCCTCACCTCTCAGGGAGATGCAAGCTAACTTCGAAGGATACATCCCTAGTCATCTTTTATGACACACTTGCTCAGTGGGTCTGTTTTCTCTCTTAACTCCTCCCCCTCCCCCCCACCTCAGTGGTGCCATGGAAAATCAAACCTAATTAAAGTGATCCTTCACAAAGATCAAACTAAAACATTCTTCACAAGCAATTCAAATGTGATCGGTCATTTGTTTACCAAACTAAATGACATTTCCTTTCATATATGACTTTCACTTTTAATTTGTCAAAATAATCCTTTGATAATGATTAAAATCTACAGACTTTACTAGTTTGACCATTTCTGAACTGTTCGCAGGGCCTGATTGCACAGTGACAACCTCTGACTTCACAGATCTGATCACCTGAAAATTTGGAATTACGAAGCCTACTAGACTTTTTATTGTAGATCTGGTGGTTTTGTTTTTGTTTTTTTGTAGATCTGTTAGTTGTTGTTAAAGTAGCTGTTGTAAATCTAGTGGTGGTTGTTGTAGTTGTAAATATCCCTAGTGGGTTCTGGGACACTATTATAGGGAAAACAAGAATAGACCTACTGCCTACCCAAAAGCATGTCGTAAGAGTCGACTAATTGGGAGCTTCCTTCGAAGTCGGAGTGCATCTGCCTGAGAGGTAAGGAACCAACAGTCTGCACACAAATGTGTCAGATCGGTCAAATGGATGCTCATGCAGCACTCAGATTCTGAAACAGGACTGTAGACCAGAAGTGGATGAACAACCAAAACTTTCCACCAGAGTTTACAGCTGGTGAATGCAAAGAACAAAGAAGAAATAGTAGTTGTAAATTTAGTGGTTGTAGATACAGTGATGTAGATCTCTGGTCTCAAGACCTGAAAAGCTGGTTTCAGGACACTGAATTGTAAATCTCTGGTCTCAAGACCTGAAAAGCTGGTTTCAGGACACTGAATTGTAGATCTCTGGTCTCAAGACCTGAAAAGCTGGTTTCAGGACACTGAATTGTAGATCTCTGGTCTCAAGACCTGAAAAGCTGGTTTCAGGACCTGAATTATAGATCTCTGGTCTCAAGACCTGAAAAGCTGGTTTCAGGACACTGAATTGAAGATCTCTGGTCTCAAGACCTGAAAAGCTGGCTTCAGGACACTGAATTGTAGATCTCTGGTCTCAAGACCTGAAAAGCTGGTTTCAGGACCTGAATTATAGATCTCTGGTTTCAAGACCTGAAAAGCTGGTTTCAGGACACTGAATTGTAGATCTCTGGTCTCAAGACCTGAAAAGCTGGTTTCAGGACCTGAATTATAGATCTCTGGTCTCAAGACCTGAAAAGCTGATTTCAGGACCTGAATTGTAGATCTCAAGACTTGAAATGCTGGCTTCAGGACCTGAAATTTCAATAACAACTGTGAGACTCCTGCAGAGGACTTATGCTGGCAGCTAGATTTGTGGAGCCAGCGACTGATGATCTTGTCTTGTCCAGTCACTTAGATATCTTCCTAATGCACAACTACACACTTCTATTCTTCCTTTTCTTGTTCTGTCTTTAAACTCCCAAAGAAGCACTGGCCTTAATAAACCCAAAACAAGTCCTTTGCTTGGATTTTTCAGCAAAAGTTTTCTTTAGGCACAAAGGTATTCAGTCCTTTTCCAACCTTTCTTTAGTTGCCTCTTAAGACATGCATAGTAGTTTACTGTTTTTGTTTGGTGTGGTTTTCAGCTAGGACTGTGATATCTGTGCCCTCTGGCCCAACACATCATATTCCAGTTAATTTCTAATCATCCTTTACAACATTCTTGCGGAAGGGGGGGGGGGTGGGTTGTTTTTCATTGAAAGTGGAGCCCTGGAGCCTAAATAGATGGGACAAACCAATCTGTTTAATCATTTCTTACCCTGTTTGACAATACATGTTTTGCATTTAGTTTTTATTAAAACATTTTGCATACCTTTCCTGTAAAAGTCAAGACTTGGGAAAGGGAGGGGCGGGGGTGTGTAGTTAGTGTTTATTTTACCCGATAACACTCCTGTACTATTGTAGTTTCCTAGGAATTCCCAACAAAATCTCAGAGTACTCAAGATGGGGTGAGATAAAATAATAGAACCAAAACTTTTTGCTGCATTTTGTTGCATGCTTAAACAGTGTTAAACAAAGTATTTGCAAGAACTGTTCTACCACAAAAGTGACCTTTTTATTCTTTTTAGCAAGAGCTGCTTCTTATCCCTTTTTTCCCCAGTAGAGCATAGGCCTTCAATCAACTCATGCCAAGTGGTTGTATATTATTTTGCTGTAGAATACAGCTCACCCCATTTCCACACCAACTTTTTAAACTACATTCACTAGTTCCCCTCTTCATCTGCTTTTTTTTTCTCTGTCTTTTTTTCTGTGCCCCAGTGGTTTGTAAAAGTTAAGGACCTTTTTCTACACCTTCGGACATATTAAAGATATAGTGCTTTACCTATATTGTATAGTTGTACATAAAGACTGCATGTATAAATATATTATAATTACTATCCTATACTGGTTAGGAAGGAGAAGATAACCAGTGATGCATACAAATTTAAATATATGTGTGTGTGTGTCTGTTTATGCAAACATAAACACACCCACACATTGAGTGTTCACACCCGGCATTGTGTAGTTTGGCTTGGTGCAGGCCAGAACATATTTGACACACTGGCTCTTGGCCACACGTTAAGTTAGTTGCGTCCTATGCAGGACCTTACAGCCCAGCCCCAAGTATTTTGTGGACTTTCCAGTCAGCTTTATGTTCTGTAGTTTGCAATTGCTTCCTCGACGTTTGACGCTCCATACCATTGTTGAAATAACAGTCTACAGTCAAATCGTCTGCAGCTCAATCGAACTGTCACCATGTACATGTTACGTATATCATCTGATCCAGCAAGATTTTTTTGACAGATAACCTTTAAACCCCCCCCCCCCTCCCTCCCCATTAGTCTCCAGTTCCAGTTTCTGGGGTGGCTGAGGTGAAGGAATAGACCCACTGCCCCCTTAACAAGCATGTCGTAAAAAGTGACTTTATTAGAAATGTTTCCTTCAGAGTTGGAGCCTAAGAACCAGCAGGCAACATTCAGATAAGCCAAATTGGTAAAATGTGTGTGCACGCAAAACTCAAGTTCTGAAAAAAAAAGTCCTGACTAAAAGTGGACGAACAACCAGAAATTATCTTCGGAGTTTACAGCCAAGTAGCGCGAAGAAGGAGAAGAAAACTCTTGTTTTCATATGTATATTGCACATATTAAATGAGTGACATCCCCTCAGTTGGTATTCTCTTGTTTTGTTACCAAACGAATGTAACAGAAAAAATATATATATTTTTGGAATTGGTGACCCAGTGCTATGCAATGAGTTAAGAACCGACATCATAGCACTCGGCACATTCCCATAAGCGCTTATCCCCAATCTTCAGCAACAAGTGCAGAATTCCAATGGTACAAGTATCGGTCTAATTGTATGTCCCTCTCGCCATTCCCCTGAATTGTGAGCGTCGACCACGCTGGCTACTACACGCTGCACAGCCAGTTAATTCTTCTGTTTATTCATTTCCTCAAAAAACTGACATGACCTAAAGAAACTATTAAAAGGCGCTAAGAACCCAGGACCTCTGAAACGACGCTTGCCATTCTGCACTGAGCATAATGTCTCCATCTTCTGTCAATCAGTTATAGTCACGACATGTGCGTGCAGCTGGTTCTCAAGCCAGCAAAAGAGTGCAGTGACCGCCTCCACCTCCATTTTCAAACCAGATGTGGTATTCCAAACATATGCCAGGTTTTGCTTTACTGTGAAGCCCCGGGAACATCTTCTGCCTCTTAGCACATAGCTAATACATAAATACATGTTGTATTATATTATGTATGTATATTCTGGTAGTCTTAGTTTCAGCTTCATAGCAAACTGGTCACCCCATCTTTCCTCTGCTCCTGTGCCAACGAAAAACACACAGAATGTTTTTCACAGTATTAGAATTGCAGTTCATCATTGATGGTAGCAGAAGTCGCCACAGATGAGCAGTTGCCCACGCGATCAATTTTAATCACATACGGGCACCACAACACTGCACGACAGGCATCGCGCCATTTTCTGAATCTACAATTCACACCAACACGTTGGTCACAGTCGAAAATACATTCCAAATGCAATCCCCAGCTCACATGGTCACGCCATGCATTTAACTCAGAAGCTGGGCGACGAAACTATATCCAGTCTACAAATGGAGCAAAAATACTTCGGCCACCGTCCGGCAGAAGCAAAAAAAATGTGCCTGTTTCGAACAGCGCCGCTGCCTAACGTCCATTTTGACCTGAAGTCGTATGTACATGTACAGAGCTAATGGTCCTATTCAATGATGATGGCGTCAGGGGAGCACATAAAAGGAGGTGGGGGGGGGGCTGCAAGTGGCCTAAGCTTTGTTTATCTGCATAATAGTAATATGCTGAATATTAAATAAGTGTTATAATTTATTTTAAATATCTGCTTAAAAATTATTATAATTGAACAGGTTTGGCTGGCCGAACATTCAGAACATCTGCTCTCATTCTGGAGACTCAGTTTTGAGTCTCCCTAAAGACATGAAATATGTTTCCTAATGGGGACCAACGATTAAAAAAAAAAAACATCCAAACCGGCCAAGAGCATGATGACTGAACCAGGTGTCCTTAAACTTTCATGCTCAAGATGCCACCCCCCCTCCCCCCCCTCGTTTTCCCAGTTTCTCTTCTCCCCTCCTCCCTCCTAAAGTCTCCCCCTCCCCCGCCTCAAGATCCTTTCATTCTTCTTTTTAAGTCCATGCCGTTGTTAGTCATGTCTATCTACAACTTTCTGTCTCGTGTACTGTCAATCAACTCTGACACAGATATCCTCCACGCCATGATGTCAGACTGTCCAGAATCTGTTCTCTCGGTCTCCCTCTACCTCTCCTTCCCTCCAACTGTCCCACTGTCACGATTTACTCCAGTTCTCTCATTCTCATCACAGGAGCAAAGAATGTAGATGGTCTCTTTCTGATGTGGGCAATCAGTTCTCTTCGTGAGTCAGTTTCTTTCAAAACGCCTTCATTACTTTTTTTATATGTCCAAAATATTATCATCATGCGTCACCGCCCTAAAAAATGAAAATGGTCGAGAATTATTACTAGAATGTAATAGCCACAGGAGAAATCGAGAAATACTACATCTAACTCAGCTGACTACTGAATTGAGTCGAATCATAAGGGGTTTTCCTCGGAGGAACAAATAGTACTTAGTCGCTTCTCTTACTACCTTGGGGTGTAGAGGTTTGCAAGAGTGATCGCCAGATGTCTCTATCAGCAGTTTTCTTTCTGGCTTTGTTCCATTCCACTCCTCTGTCAGTTAGGGACTGTCGGATGTTGTCTTCTCA